ATATATATATATATATATATATATATATATAGCCAAAAATCAAACCCATAGGCATCAAGTCAATTCCAACTCATAGCAACTCCCATTGCATTTCTAAGCCTGTAAATCTTTATGAAAATAAATAGATTGCCTCATCTTCCTCCTGTGGAGCAGCTGGTGGGTTTGAACTGCTGACCTTCTGGTTAGCAGCCAAATACCTCACCAGAACTCCATAGATGATAGATAGATAGATAGATGAGAGAGAGAGAGAGATTTAAGGAGATCTGGTGACACAGTGGTTAAAGTGCTGTTTTGATTACTTAGTGCTGCTCTCACAAGAATATACCACAAATAGGATGTCTTGAACAAACAGGAGTTTATTCTCTTACAGTTCAGTAGGCTAGAAGTTCAAGTTCAAAGTGCAGGCTCTAGGGGATGGGTGAAAAACCCTCAACCTTGAGCTTTAGCTCTGCTTCCTGCTCCCAGCCTACTGAAGCTAAAGGTTTCTCTTCACTTGAGCAGCTACTGGCTGCTGAAGCTGACAAGCCCAAGGTAAACAAACAGAAAGGCACAATTCAGATATTACCAAGCCACATGGCAGGCCATTAACTCAAGTCCATTGAAAGTCCCAAGGTTGGCAGAACATGGCAGGCTGCTGAATAATGACATGGCTACATGCAGGGTTTAAGAGAGCCATAAGCTAGAGACCATTCCCAAAGCTGTTCCTTACATATGGGAAGCAGACCGTATCCCTAAGGCAGTTACTCAGCTGCTTGTGGTAGATCCCACCATGGAATTTATTGCCAGTCTCATCATGAGGAATACTACCATCAGCTGCCCAGCCACTCAACCAGGCCTAGCCAAGTTGACACACCAACTTCACCACCACAAGTGCTCCTCTGCAAACCAAAAGGTCCATAGTTCAAACCCACAAGCCACTTTCTGGAAGAAAGATGTGGCAGTCAGCTTCCGTAAAGATTTATAACCTTAGAAATTCTGTGGGGCAATTACACTCTGTGCTGTAGAATCCCTATGTGTTGGAATCACCTCCACAGCCTTGGGTTCAGTTTGGTTTGGGTCTGTTTCTCAAAGGCCTCTGAGTCTCTCTCTCATGATGCGTTTTTTCTGCCCAGCTTTACCCTCAACCTCTGCTCAACCCCTAAATTACTCAACCTCTACAAACAAACTCAGGCAGCTGTCTAACTGAGTCTCATTTAGCAGCCTGCCATGTTTCTTACTGATCTTGGGACTGTCTCTGGACCTGAATTGGTGGCCTGACGTGTTATTTGATAATGTTGGGACTATGCCTTTTTACTTGTTTACTTTGGGTTTCCCAGCCTTAGCAGCCAGCAACTGCCTGAATGAAGAAAGACTAGCTTCAGTGGGGCAGGAGCAAGAGGCAGAGCTGAAGCCCAAGGTCGAGGGGCTTTCACCCAGATGCTAGAGCCTGGCACTTCAAACTCAGACTTCTAGCCTCCAAAACTGTAAGAGAATAAACTCCTATTTGTTAAAGCCATCCCATTTGTAGTATTTTCTGTTAGAGGAGCACAAAGTAACCAAAACAAGGTGCTTAGATTCACACTCACAAAAAAATAGGCCATGAAGTCACAGAAACTTGGAGCAAATGGCAAAGAGTGAGAGTTACCCAAGTCGTGGAAGCATCTTCCTCCTGTTTTGAGTGCTGTGCTCATCATGTCAGCAGAGGCCTCCTAAGTTAGAGGGGCAATTTCAACTTGCACTACTCATAAGTAAAGCACACACTTGAGAGATGACGCTCTTCCCAGAGCTGTCAATCTTTCCACATTGATGATCCTGAAAACCAATTTAATAGAGCATTTTAAAGTAACTTTTTTAAAACTTTGTGCCAAAAAGACAAGAAAGAAGAAAGTGCTAATTGCACTTTAGAGCTTTAGATGCTTTTCAGTCCAGGATCTCAGAGTATTTGATGAGCTCTTATCTCACACAACCTTGCTTCACCTCTGATTGGGAACAGATCAGTATTGTTGAATTCATTTGACAATATGGAGAAACTGAGGTCCTTCTCAAGAAAAAAGAAAATGTCACATTCCAATTTTCCACCTCAAGAGGAATTAAAGAAAAGCATGCTTCATTTGAATCACAGACCTTAGAGTTCCTCTGAGTGAAAACTGTGTCAGGTGTATTTCAATTGTAAGAACCAACTCAAGATATCAGATTCACTCACCACAACACATATGCCTTCTCCACAAGATTAGAAACATGCAGACAGCTCATAGATATCATCCTTACAATTGTGCAATCAAAAATGGAAAGCATGCAGTTCTCCTAGCTTCATTTAAAAAAAAAAACCTCAGGAAGAATTCTGACGGCATTGGTTTCAGTTGAGTACCCACACCTGGGCCAATTGCTGTGGCCAGAGAGATAGATACTATGATTGCCCAGGCCTGAGTTGCAGGAGTCACCCCTATGGACGATAGGAGTAGGGAATATTACGAGAAGAAGAGGATTAGCAAAGATATAGAACTGGCAGGGGAATTGTTGTGGGAAGAACAGCCACCTCAAATTATGTCTTCAAGAGACTTTCTACCTCAGAGGGTAACCAATTGCCTTCAAATTAATCCCAACTCAATATCGACCTTCATGTGTGTCAGAGTAGAATTGTACTCCATAAGATACTTCAATGACTTATTTTTCAAACATATATTGCCAGGCCTTTTGTCTGAGGTACTGCTGGGTAGACTTGAACCTCCAACCTTTCAGTCAGCAGTGGAGTGCACTAACCATTTGTACTGCCTAGGGATTCCTCTCAGAAGCTTTGTTGTTGTTATGTGCTGTGGAATCAGACCCAACTCGTAGTGACCCCTCCTTGGGTTTCCGAGGTTGTAT